GGGCAGTTACGTTTTTATTTCTCAGTAGTATATTTCTTTCTAAAATATTTTTTTATGTGTATAGTTTTTTAATTATGTCTAATTTTATGTATCTGATGCAATTTAAAATTAACTGAGTTTGAAAATGAAATTAGGTATGAGCTAGTTTGGGTAGGGGTTGCGCATGTTATAAGAGTAATGCTAGACTGACCAAAAATAGGGACCAAAATTAATAACCAAATAACATGGCAGCCTAATCAACATTCAAAATCATTATGTCATGTCATTTAATAAAAAGATTAATATTTGATTAATATTAGGGTTAATTGCTTTTCAACTTTTTCACTTCCACCGTCAATACCCACCTTCCTCTCTCTCTCTCTCTCTCTCTTTCTTACTTACGTCCTCTAGTCTCTGCCCTCCTCTTTCTTTCTTCTCTGCCAAAGAAGAAAACCACCCAGGAGTAATGCTACGCTAAATCTCGTCTTCCCAAGATGTTCAACTGTGAAGAAGCTGTTTGATGGTATGATGATTTAGTCACTGGGTTCAACTCATTCTTACCAGCAAAGAAGAAGGTTGTCGCCACTTCATCGGAGGCGTATAATAGCACGGTGGACGATCAAACTCTGACTTCATCATTGACGACACAGATCGAGATTGTAAAAAAGGTTCAGAAGAGTTTCGAAGACGATGTTCGAAGAAATAAATCGTTTCTTGATGCTTTGGGTATGTGGCGATTTAGAGACAGGGTCATTGATTGAGACTCGATCAAGAGGTTGCTGGTTTGTTCAAAGAGCTCCCAGATCTATACATGGAGTTCAAGGGGTTTTATGGTGATTTTTCAAAGGAGAAATCAACTGATAAGGAAGCGAATTGACCGGAATTAAAGACTCAGAGAAACGAAAAATTATATGTTCAACAAGAGGCTGAAACATCGTGACTCAAACTCTTTGATTGGTGGTAGGTTGACTACTCTTACCAACACAATCATATTTGTTTAGGTCCATTTCCAATTCATTTAGCCTCTACATCACTAAATTGGTCTTTTCTTCAGAATCCATTGCCAAGTCTTCAACCTGATAAAATGTATTACACAACTTTGTCAAAACGACATGCTTCAGGTTTGACACTCCAATCATCATAACTAATCTTCACCTTCATGTGACACCTCTTCAAATTTTTCCTCCATTGCCGAATGATATATTTTTCTGGAATCACTAAAATCTTCTTATAAATTAGCACTGTGATTGCATGTCTACATAGAATGCCCCTAAATTTAAACAAACGACAATTGTACTTAATGTCATAGTCATCATGAATTAAAGAAACTTTGAAAGATGCATGTTGTTGTCCGAATTTGATATTGACAATTTACGTGCAAATATACATGATCAACAAGTAATAAAGTGATAAGTAGAATATCGTTTCCACGGAGAATTATTACTAATAATATCCAAGTACTAATTTTATATCAATTAAATTTTATTTAAACAATTGGAATTGACTAAGAAATCACTACTTTAAAACTAAATCTAAACTTAATAATCAATGGTTGAATTTACCAGATAAAAGAAGTTAAGATTACAACTTCGTTAATGCTTTGTATAAATCTTTCCACTCTCTTTTCCAGTTAATTGATCAAAATAAGTTGTTAACTGAGAACTCAAAGTTATATATCAAACCTCTTCCGATAATTAGATAAACTAATCTCTCCCAATTAAATTACTACATTCATATGCAAAATAATTTGGAATAGATTCATTAAATTCAAACTCTCATAAAAGTTACACACGACATATAAGTATATTGATATCCTATATACAAATCCAACAATTTAATCCTAAGAAGAATTAACTAGACGCATGTCATCATATTCAGATCTAAACCTAGAATTTATCTTCCAATTTTATTTAGGTTATCAAATTAATTTTTGGTCACACAATCATACATTAAACACCAAATATGACAAACAACTCATATATAATCAATAAAACTAGAAATGAAAGTAGATTAATTTAACTGAACATTAGGTTCTGTTGTAACCTTAATAAGAATTTAGTTCATAACATAATTGAAAAACATCCTTCTCAAATTAAACAACATCTCAGAAAATGAAGAAGTAAAAGTAATAGAAAAGAATAAAAACTTAGTTGCAATCTTCACTTTCTCTCTAGCCTTCGGTTCCAATCTTCTTCGTATCGATTCCTTCGATATTTGTCTTCAATTTTCTATCAATCCTTGGTCTTTTTCCAATGTAATCAACCCCCAAAATCAGAATATCTCTGTCCCAACTCAAACCCTAGCATATATGTATCATTAGGGTTCAATTTCGGATAAAAAATAAGTTAAAATTCACGTCCAAAGCCAACACAAGCGCCTAGGCGCTGAATGGGCAGTATGTGGGCGCAAAGGCGCTGAAAAGGCGTTGGGTTTACGTTGACCTTTTTTTTTAAGCCTTCTACTCCCTTGTTGCTTGACCTTCAAAAATCCAACACTTATGTTCCAAATTAACCTTGTTTCCTTACAAATGATCTTATTTGCTTCCAAATGATGATTCATACCAAATAACATCAAAACACACAAATAAAAAGGAACATAAAATAATTGAAAACTTGCAAATTTATCAAGCCGAAAGTACTCAATTCGTAGGTATAAAACCCACCAATCACATGTCGAGATGACTCCCCAACCTTTATATCTTAAGATATTTCATACTCTGAAAAGGAATCATTATCTTTAACCGAAGACAATTCACAATATATCTTCCCTGTCAATTCATGTTGAAACTCTTTAAATTTTGCAGTTGTATAAGCATCTTGAAACTGCTTCTCCATTGCATAATGAGTTACACAAAGAATCCATGAATTATAGGAGTTGAACTCTTCTTCGTTCTCTTTTTCTACCTTGCTTCGCAATGCATTTTCATACTGTTCAACAAATTATTTTAACGTAGTTTTGGAATTGGCATATCCATAAAAAAATTCATGCATGCTCTCATTGTGTTGTGTGGTAGACATTTCTGCCCAAAAAATATCTTTCACAAATGTCGGCACCCATCGATGCCTCTCATCATACAATCCAAACAACCACTCATTGCTTTCAAGATTATATTTCTCAAACATTTTATTCCACCGTTCTTCAAATTCTTCTTTGGTCAAACAGTCATATACAACACTCTGCAATGCAAACTTGATTGACTTATACTGTTTATAACCTCTCAACTTTTCTGGCAACTTCTTCATTATATGCCACAATACACCACCTGTGGCATGTATTGGGAAAAACAATTTCAATTGCCTTTGTCTTGGTTCGTAATTATTGCATTTAGAGTACGACTAGACATGCAAGCAACCTAAGATTGAAATAGCCAACTAAACGTCTCAACATTTTCGCTTGATACCAATCCACATCCTAATAAAGTCGATTGACCGTAGTGATTGGCCTTAACAAAGAAGCAAATGGCTTGTCATATTTATTCGTTAAATATGTGGTGTCAAATGTAATGACATCACCAAACTCTTCATATGCTACTCTACTCCTAGCATCTACCCAAAGTGCATTTCTTAAACGACTCTCATCATCCAAATCCATCATGTAGAAAAATTTTGAATTATCACCTTGTGTTTTCGGGAAATAGTTGTGAATCGCAGCAACATCTCCTTCCCCAAGCCGCAACCGCCTTACTTTGTCAATAAAATTTCTACAATCTTTCTCCAAAAAGGGAACATTCTCATGCCCACCCGCTTCAACCACAATAGAATTAAAATTCTTGTTAATCCGAATATCAGCTCTATCATTCATTTTAAGTCTCTTTTGATGTATGGTCTTATTATCCTGTTGCATCGATAGAAACGAGATTTGACCAGACTCAACTCATGGTTATGTGCAAGCATGATGAAAGTCACTCGCCACTTGCCACTAGGACATATAGTTGCTCTCAACTTAGCTTTACAATTAGTTTTGGTGATTGGATGCATTTGTAAGACATTTCTTGATGTAGACTTTGACTTCCCGAGCGAGAACACGCAAATGTCACATATTTTAGCTCTTCATCATCTCCCTTTGACGATATTCTTCTTTTTATGGGAAACCCTAGGCCATTACCATATCTTATGTAGTACTTCATTATTTCGTCAACTGTATTAAACGTCATTCCCAATTTTGGCTCTTCTAAATTTTCTTTTACATTGATTGTATTATCAACTTCCTTCTTACAAGTATTACCATCCATCTCCATACTTGTATAGCTAGTTGGAATTTCTTCTTCCATTCCTATACAATAAAAAACAAAACATAGATAATCAAAAAACATGAAAATAGTAGATTGTCAATGCATTCTCAAGAATTATGTAAGCTTCCTATATTGGCTCACAAAGCTTTAATACCTAAATTAATATTTTTGTTATCCATCTTCCAACATTTTCTGACCATCACAAAGTTCCAAAAACTATAATCTACATGATCATAAGCTTTCTCAAAATCAATTGATGTGTGTATGTGTGTGAAACCCAAATTAAACATCAATTGTTGTGCGTGGGTGGGTGTGTAAAATCGAAGTCTTTGTTCTCTGATAGAGACGGTTTTGAGTTTGCGAAGAAATTTTGAATTCACGGTCGTGAGCTATCCCCAATTAGTGTTTAAATGATACGATCGGTGAGGCATGCATTGCATGGATGTGCGGTTGTGGGGTGTGTGTTTGTGTGCATGCATATTGTAAGTGTGTTTTTTGCAGAGGACGTAAGAGAGAGAGAGAGGTAAGAGAGAGAGAGAGGAAGGTGGGTATTGACATTGGAAGCGAAGAAGTTAAAAAACTTTTAACCCTAATATTAATCAAATAATAATCTTTTTATTAAAAGGTTGTGAGAACGAGAGCCAGAGTAGAAAGTGGGAAAATGCCGGCGAGTGCAACGGTGNAGAGAGGAAGCGAAGAAGTTAAAAAACTTTTAACCCTAATATTAATCAAATAATAATCTTTTTATTAAAAGGTTGTGAGAACGAGAGCCAGAGTAGAAAGTGGGAAAATGCCGGCGAGTGCAACGGTGGTCGGAGCTCTGCTGGGACTGGGCACCCAAATGTACTCCAATGCCCTCCGAAAACTCCCTTACATGCGCCGTAACTAATCTTCTCTTCCCTTCTGTTCCCCTCCCTCTACTAATCATATACACCAAATGAAATCGAAATGAATTTGATGCCCTAATTTTTAATTTTCTTTATCATCCGATAAACTGTTTCTGCGAAAATGTTAATTCAGATCCGTGGGAGCATTTGTTGGGAATGGGATTGGGAGCGGTATTCGTGAATCAGCTGGTGAAATGGGATGCTAAACTTCAGGAAGACCTCGACAAGATGCTAGAGAAAGCCAAGGCCGCCAACGAGCGCCGCTACTTCGGTTCACGCTTCTCTCTCTCTCTCTCTTTCAACCCCCCACCCCCGGTTTTCTCATTTTTACCTTACAATATTGACAATTTTTTTGTGTCGTTTCTTTTGTTTTCCGTCGTTGGTGCTGTTTATTGTAGATTGTTTTGTTTTAAGTTAGCAGAATTTGATAGATATCTTTTGGGCTTTTCAATTCTTTCGCTAAACCCTATCTATAAATGAGTTTGTTTGACCCATGAATATCTTGAAGTGTTGAAATTGGTTGCTCTAGTTTAGCTCTAACAACATATTTGGCGAAGTCACGATTGTAGGGTTGTTACAACAGTATAGACAACTAAAGGTCTTGAACAACAGAGGTTTCAACGCAACAGAGAAATTTTGATTGTGCTGGAATAGAAACAGAAGGAAAAATGAGTCACTGGAAAAAGCAAGAAGAAACAAGCAAGGCTTGTTGCAATTGAACATCAAAAGAAATTCATTGACAGAGTGGTTGCATTATGAATTTAGTGTTCTTAACATGTGCATTTGCATCTTAATGGGGTAATTGCATTTGATGCATTCTTCTAAAGAATCTCAACCTTTTTGGCTACATTTTCCTGTGATGAAGAAGAACATGTCAAAGAAAAGGCGGAGAATAAGATCATAAACTGCAGAAGCTTCTTAGCTTGAGGTTGTATATTGTGGTGCTCATAATGTTTACCTGTGTTGTGTTTTTAAAAATATAGGATGTGATTCTTATAGAAAATGTAGGCCTTAAATATAGTTCCATTTCCAATTGAAAGATTTTTGGCATTAGGTTTGTGAGAAAAAGGGGAGAGAATGTTTGTACCTAAGAAGTATTTCAAAATGTTCTGGATTGATAGTTGGGAGTCATTTTTCCTACATAGTCTGGGACTATGTTGTGAAGAAGAGAGATACATATATCATTTTAAGTAAAGAATTTTTTTTTGTTTCCTTCAAAAAAAAGAAAAAAAAATGGAGAGATACATAAATCTTGGTCATGAGATCAAATCGATTAAAATTGTTTTTGTTTGAGTTTGATGAAGACTCTTGGGGTGGCATTAACAAGATTACTGAGAGGAGCTGATATGCTAGTCTTCAATTTCCTTGCGCTTAGGATGCGTGTCTTGGCTGTGTAAATGTTTGAAGGAAGCCGTAAGATGGAATGATGAAGGGGTTTTCGGACCTCTTAAAAAATTTAGAGGCGCTTCGTATCAGTTTTGGGTGGAACTGAATTCTAATGGAGGAGTTAAATTCCTCACTACATCTAAAATTCGGAATTCTGTACCTTGAAGGTTCATTGTTGTTCCCCAAGGAACTAGAAACTTTTGGATGGTTGAGATTGGCATACTTGTGGATGGATTGTTATAAGTGTCACTGTATATGGAATGGGAAATGTTTAATTACTCGAATATATCAATCTAATCATTTGCTCTATCCAAATATGCATTTCCTTTCTAGACTGATAGACTAGTATTCTTTTGCAAGAATCATGAAATGGTTGAAGAAATTTGAGGGGAAGAAATTTTTTTTTCCCCTGGAAAGTAAGAACGATGTTTTTTGGAAGGGCCTTTCATGCTGCGTTTGAGGAAATGGGTTCCCAAATCTTACTCATTTGGAAGTAAAATTACTTTCTTGGGTGTATGGATTGGAGTAGAAGATTTACTGTTTCACAGGTTGCTGATTGATGTGTGTAGAAAGATAGGTAAACAGTGTGGTGGTTTGCTGGAGGTGGACCAGAGGACATTGAACTGTTCTAATTTGTTCCAGGCTAGAATTGTAGTGAGGAAAATTGAATCAACTCTTATTTTGACCTCTTTGGATGTGAAGTTTCATTAGAAAGTCTATCGGATCGAAATTAGGGTTCTATCAAGGTTGGGCAACATTTTCATGGTCACCTAAATCCTCTAGTTTTTGGTGGTAGTATAAAGAGTGTAAGCACTCATTGTGAAGAGGAACACAATAGGGTTTGTAAGGAGGGGTATTGTCATGCACCAAATTCACAAACAAACGTAAATTAACTAATAACCATAAAAAACATGAGAGTAAGTACCATTAAATAAATCAACATAGCAAATATCCAACATCCTCTAACTGAAAAACCCAAAAAAACATAAATTTGCTATAAAAAGTTTGATGTAGGATGGAAAAAGAAGTAAGATAATAGAAAGAAGTAGAAGAGATACCAAACCCTCACAAAGATTAGGTCAAGAAACACACAAAATTCTCCAAGGGGAAACAAATTTTTTATTATATCACTCTCTAATGAAAATAATAGAGATACATCAATATTTATAGGCTAAGTCTCCTATTAAAATAAAAACTACTATCTTAATAAAATTTTAAATGAGTTTCATAACCACAAATTCAAATCTCTATTATACTAAAACTCTATAATAATTTTTTAGTCAAATTTTAATTAAAACTCCTAGTCAAATAAATATTTCCTAACTAATAATAATATTAAAACAAATAATAAAATTCAATTATTCAATTTAAGCTTATTCAATCCCTTTTTGATCTTTATCAATTCTCCCCGGTTGAAAAAAACTCTTTTTTGAAGAGTACTTGTAGCAAAAATACTCCAAGAGAATTGACATCAGATAGTAAAACACATCTTCAAACTTGATAGTATGAAAGTAAGATCTCCCTTCAATGACATAATATAGGATATCACAATGGGAGGAATCTATATCGCGAATCTTCATAACTTTCACACTTTGTTCCAAATAAAAGGGCGGTGATGATGTTGGCAAAAAAGTAACAACCCTATCTAAAAAAATCACTTTTCAAACTTGCTTAACTTCATATGTAGGAATACACTTTGAAATTGGTTCATAAAAAACAATAGGATGAGAGGGAGAACTTTTAAGCTGATCAAAATTAGATAATTTCAACTCATTAATCAGTTGAACTGAATGTGATGGTGGAGCTTGTGGTGGAACTGGAGGGCTATGTTCAACTACTTGTTGATTGAGAGTTGAATGGACAAATCAGTGTTTTGAAAAGCTCACCTAGGCGAGAAGCGAGGCGAGGCGAGCTTATCTCGCCTGGAGGACCCCAGGTGAAGCGAATGTAAGCGAAGCGAGAAAAAAGCGAGAAAAAGCGAAAAAACGAACGCTTTATTATAAAAGGCGATTCTGCTTCACTTTTTTTTTTTNAAGCGAAACGAGAAAAAAGCGAGAAAAAGCGAAAAAATGAACGCTTTATTATAAAAGGCGATTCTGCTTCACTTTTTTTTTTTTTTTTTTCTGATTACAGGTTAGTAGTCTCTTTTATTTTTTAATCACTAATGACTTTTTTTTTAAACTATTGCTGGTCTATTTTTTTTTTCTAGTAAACAATGTTTCGAACAAAACACATTCTTTTTTTTTCTTGTGTTGCTGAATTCATTTAGAATATTTGTGGGATGTGAGAGTCAAGCGACTGCATGACAATTATGATAAAAAAAGGAAGCAGGAGTATCAGGAATGGGGGTAAATAATAGATTCTTCTACAAAAAAGTGTCTCTGATATGTCTTGGTTATACTTTTCCCTTTTCTTATATATATACAAATGGTACCAAAAAGTGGTCTATGCTTATACCATGTTTAATTATTTTAGTACATGTGAAATGTGCCTCTGTTCTGCTTTTTTTTATTCAGTATATAATTACATATGAAATTGTTTACAATTGATTCTGCTCCTGTCATGATCATTGTGCTTCTGTTTTTTTTTTTACTCATTCTGCTTCTATTTTTTTTTTGTTGATTCTGTTGCTGCTTCGATTTTGCTGTCCTGTGTTGCTTTTGTTTTTTTTAATTGTCATTCTGCTTCTTTTTTTTTTGTTGCTAATTCTGCTGTTGTCCTGATTCTGCTTCTTTTGTTGTCCTACCCTGTCAATATGAAAATGTATACAATTGTTAGTATTTGTTTGAATTTAAATGTTTAAGTTATGACTGTTATTAAAATTTGAGATATTATTAGTGTTTGTTTTAATTTAAATGTTTATGGTTTTACTTGCATTTAAATATTTAGTATATATAAAATTAGAACTTAGATTGTTTAGAAGTAATTAAACTAAAATATATACTTTTTTTAACTGTACGCTTTGCTTCGGTAAAACGTGTCGTTTCGCTTCTCGCTTCTCGCCTAGGTGTTAGGAGCCTTGGTCGCTTCGGTTAGCTTTACGCCTTAAATAACACTGGGACAAACTGAAATCTTCCTTTGTCTTAGTTTCACGGATTGCAACTAGAACATATTCTCTTAGTGAATCGTACTTAAATGTTTAATATGCATGTTGCTAAGCACTATTGGGCAGATGTTGTTCTTACTTGCGTTTATCTTATTAACCGGATGCCTTTTTTTGTCATAGGTAACAAATCTCCCTTCTCCTTCCTTTATCCTACTACATTCCCATTCGGTTTGACTTCTCGTGTTTTTAGCATTGTTGCATTTGTTCATCTACTTGGTTCAGGTAGCGATAAACTTTCCCCCGCTCATTCAAGTGTATTTTTTGGGATTTTCTTGTACTCTGACAGGTTATCGATGCTATTATTTGAGCTCTCACTGATATTAAATCACTACTGATGTTACCTTCTTTAAGTCATTTTTCTTCTTTTTACTTCAAAACATAATTATTTTCTAGATTTGGTTTCTTCTTGTCAGAGAGTTATTAGTACCTACTCTCCCAAATTATATACCTTCTTCTTCATCTACTGACCCCCTATTGCTGGTTTTTAAGTGTACCAAGAATAGACAGGTTGTGCCCTATGCTCCTGCTCCACAACCATCATCTAATTTGACTGAAGTCCTTCCTTCTAAGCCTTCTGTTACTCCCCATTCTTTGGACTTGTCTACTGTATTGGGAAAGGTCCTCGTAATTATTCCAAACATCACATTTCTAATTTTGTTTCTTTGCATCGACTTTCCTCGTCATTTTGTTGTTTTGTGTCTACCTTGTCATATATGATTGTTCTTAGTTTTTTGACACAAACTTTGACATATCCTGGATGGAAGCTGGCTATGGATGAGGAAATGAAAGTTCTTCATGAGAATCAAACTTGGAATCTCATTTCATTTCCTCCGGGGAAACAGCTTGTTAGTTGTTGGGTTTACATTGTGAAATATCTTCCTGATGGCTCAGTCGAGCATTTAAAAGCTCGGTTGATTGCCAAAGGATACACCGAGACATATGGTGTCGATTATTGTGAGACATCCTATTGCTTAACTTAATTCTGTTAGAATTCTTATTTCGGTTGCAACTTCTTGTGATTGGTCCTTGTACAAGCAGGACATAAAGAATGTTTTTTTATAGGAAATTTTTTTTCACACCCCCTCTAATTAGGTCTAAATTCAATGACCCCCTCCCGATTCTGAAATTTCATTGTACCCCCTTCTGGTTTATACTTTCAAATCAAAGATACCCTCTTAACGGTAACTTCTGACCCTATCAATACATAAAGTAATGATTTGACTATATATTTTCAGAAAATATCAAAACTATCATTTGTTATGTAAATAAACTAAAATGCCCTCAACCCTTTCCCCTTTATATATAGAAATTTTTTTATCTACACCCCCCGTAGATAGGTATAAATTCAATGACACTCTCTCCCGATTCTAAAACTGCACTGTATACCCTTTTGATTATACTTTCAAATCAATGACACCCCCTTAACAATAGCTTTTTCCCTCTACCAGTAGATAAAGTAATAATTTGACTAAATATTTTTTGAAAATTTTAAAATTACCTTTTGTTATGTAAATGGATTAAAATGCCCACAATTCTTTTCCCATTATATATGCACTAGCCAACCAGTAGGCGTGATTTCTATCATTATATTATTGCAATGAATTTTTATCATTTTAAAGCGTTGCATGATAATTTTGTTATAATATTAGTTATCATATTATCACTCATTTGGTTACACAATAAAGTTTTTATAATTTTTATAGTTAAAAATAATTTTTCTATGATAAAAGTTACAATCGATAAAGTTAATGTCAAAAATCCCATTCATTTTTAACTCCTTTATTATTACTTGTTCGCCACAACGTCACCTGGCCACTCTTTCCGTATCTTCCTTCAGATATAAAATCTAAATATTATTTGATGAAGTTTAATATTAATTGAATAAATTTGGTCTTAATTTGATAAATTTAAATATAAATTTGGTATTAATTTAATAAAATTAAATATTAATTCAGTGTTGATTTGATAAAATTGAATGTTAATTGAATAAATTTAAATGTTGCTTTAATGAAATTGAATGTTTTTTTGGTGTTACATTAAATAACTGACATTATTAATTTAATAAGGTTAAATGTCAAATTAATGGAATTTAATATATTAAAATTTTAATTTAATAAAATTGAATGCCAATTTGTTGTTGATTTGATGAAATTAAATAATAATTTAATGTTAAATTAAAGAAATAATATTAATTTGATGAAATAAAATATTAAATTAATATAACTAAATGCTAATTTGATAAAATTAAATATCAATTTGTATTGATTGATGAGATGGAATGTTAATTTAGTTTAAATTGCAAAAATGACATTACTTTGATAAAATTAAATATTAAATTGATTAACCTAAATGTTAATATAATAGAACTAAAAGGGAAAGTATTAAAATTTTAGAATCGAGAGGGGGTATTGTTAAAGACAAGTCTATTTATAAGGTTGTTGTTGAAGTTATGTCTATTTATAAGGGGGTTGGATAAAATTTACCTTATAAAATATTTAGGAGTATTTCTGTTAATTAACAATCGCCGTTAACATCGTAATCGGACAAACACTGACAGGGGGTGACAATGAAGTTTCATTATTGGAATGGGGTGACATTGAATTTA